GGGGAAGGAGCTGCGTCGCGTGGCGTCTGGTTGTCGGCCGTTGTTTAGTTGTTTGTGTGGTTGGTTGGGTGTTTGTTTGTTTCTTTGTTTGATTGTTGTCTGATGTTGCTTTTTGTTTGGTTGGTTGGTTGGTTGTTTTCTGTTGTGTGGGTGTTTGTATGTTTTTTTGTTTTGTTTCTTTGATTTTTGTCTGATGTTGCTTTTGTTTGTTTGGTTGTTTTCTGTTGTGTGGGTGTTGGTTTGTTTGTTGTCGGGTTGGCTGGCTGGTGTCTGTCGTGTGTTTGCCTTCTGCTGTGGGGTTGTTTGCTCGTCGGGCTGTGTGTTTGTTGTTTATCAGAGAATTGTCTATTCATCAACTGGTTGTCTATCGTCTATCTCTTGTGGAGTTTTCCGTCTATTATCTGAGGTATGGAGGGAAAGAGAGACAGACAGACAGACAGACAGACAGACAGACAGACAGACAGACAGACAGACAGACGGACAGACAGACAGAGAGAGAGACATAGAAAGAAACGGACAGACAGACGGAGGGGAAGAGAGAGAGAGAGAGAGAGAGAGAAATAGAGACAGAGAGAGAGACAGAGATAGAGACAGAAAGAAACAGACAGACAGACAGAGGGAAAGAGAGAGAGAGAGAGAGAGAGAAAGGGGGGGGGTGGAGAGAGAGGGAAAGATATTAACTTTTCAGAATATGATAACCTTCATGTTGATTAAATATAGTGCGTTATTTTTTCCTTTAGTTTGAGTTTTCGATATTTCGTTTTAATACTTCATCACCTTTTCTTATTTATATAAGTGCATTTAGAATACATCCATGTACAGTAAATACCCAGCAAATAAATAGTTTGCATATAGGAAATTATGTAGGCTTTCTCTTTCTATCTCTCTCTCTCATTCTCTCTCTCTCTCTCTCTCTCTCTCTCTCTCTATCTATCTCTCTCTCTCTCTCTCTCTCAGCCGTTTTACATGATCAATTAAGATTATCATGACATTCTTACATTTTTTTTTTTTTTTTTTGTAAGTGTGTTCTTGAAATGAATGAACGAGTTTCCAACGTGAAGTGTGGTGTCCCAGGGTATATGAGTTTGACAACCCTGGTCTATTTATTCAAGATATCCGCATAGCCTCCACATGCATGTATGTTGATGCTGATATCGGATATCCGGTCCAAACTCTCATGATAACAGTAACAGTAATGTTGATTATAACAAAAAATAGCATAACAGATAGAAATCCCAATGATTATGAAGATAGCAACCTTCAGCAACATTGATAGAAATATTGAATAACAAGAACCATAAAGAGGATAATTATAATACCCATTCCTCTCCTCCCCCCCTCTCCTCCCCCCCAGGCAGCAGCCGGGCGGGCAACCAGTGGCACCTGACACTCCTGAACAGCGAAGGAGTGAGGCGAATGGGCCGCTCACCGTCCTCTGGCCCCGCCCACCGTGCAGTCGCCCACTCTTCGACACGCCCCTTCTACCCGCCTACAGGCACGCGGGTTTTAGACACCGCCCTCAATACCCACGCCTCGCCTCTGACGCCCGGGAATGAGGCCTCAATCTGAATGCCTATACTGGGTTATTTTCGTTTCCAGTGACTGTAATAGCTAGTATTATTTCCATGATTATCATTATTGTTACTCTGATTTCAATATGAATATTAGCAGTATTATTATTATTGTCATTATCATCAAAATTATTATTATTATTATTATTATCATCATCATCACTATTATCGTCATTATTATTATTATCATCATCCTCATCATCATCCTCATCATCATTCATTATTATCATTATGATAACAATCATTATTATCATTTTATTATTATCATTATTATTATTATCATTATTATTATCATCATTCTTATCATTATCATTATCATTATTATTATTATTATTATTACTATTATCATTTTTATTACTCTTCGTATTATTATTATCATTAATACAGTTACCTTTTGTTATCATCAGTATTCTTCTTCGTCCTTTTTTGAGTTTAGAAAAAACAAACTCTTTCGCACGTATTTATTGTTTATTTACTTATTTAATGTTATTTACATGAAACATTGAATGTGTTTGTGAATACATTAATTTGCATTGTCTCTCTATCATAGAGGCAATTTCTGTCAAATACAAGCTTAGACTAAGTATAGATGTTTTGTGTCTGTTGTATATAATACACACACACACACAAATACATGTACACAACTATATATATATATATATATATATATATATATATATATATATATATATATATATATATATATATATATATATATATATATATATATATGCGTGTATGTATACAGGGAGGAAAAGGGCGTACTAGAATCTGAAAGAATTGATATAACTTTCAATTTGTAAATCATTGTATATATTTCTGCATTTACACAGAGCATATCCCTATTTTATGTAACTTATATAGATTTAAGGAAATATAGATTCTTTGAAGTGTGTTTACGTAAATATTTCGGTATTTAGATGTATAGCTGTTCGAAAAACGTCTCAAAGTGTAAAAAGAAGAAGAGGAAAAGTAAGAAGCCAGGAAACGAAGAAAATAAGAATAATAAAGTGTGGAAAATGTATATAAGGAAAATACATAGACTTAAAACAGTTCGCTTCACTGATTTCTGATTTCGAAAGCCATGAGTTCGTTAGTCGTACTAGGAAATAAAATGAACAGCGAATGATCCAGTCACAAGGAAACTGCTGAAAACTCAAAGGCAATAGAAATCAAGACTGACTTGCTTTTCCCTGTGAGCTTTAATTCGCTCGTTTTGCTTGTAATGGCAGTCGTTTCATTTCCGTTTTCGTCTTTATTTCGTCTGTGTTTTTTTTTTTTTCTCTCTCTTTTTCGTTTTGCCATTCCCTCTTGAGCTCTCTCATCGTCTGTCTCTTTCTCTCTTTCTATATATGTATCTCCAATCTCTCTCTCTCTCTCTTTCTTTCTCTCTCTCTCTCTTTCTCTCTCTCTCTCTTTATCTCTCTCTCTCTTTCTCTCTCTCTCTCTTCTCTCTCTTTCTCCTCTCTCTCTCTCTCTCTCTGCTGTCTGTCTCTCTCTCTCTCTCTCTCTCTCTCTCTCTCTCTCTCTCTCTCTCTCTCTCTCTCTCTCTCTCTCTTCTCTCTCTTCTCTCTCTCTCTCTCTCTCTTCTCTCTCTCTCTCTCTCTCTCTCTCTCTCTCCTCTCTCTCTCTCTCTCTCTCTCTCTCTCTCTCTCTCTCTCTCTCTCTCTCTCTCTCTCTCTGTCTCTCTCTCTCTCTCTCTCTCTCTCTCTGTCTCTCTCTCTGTCTCTGTCTTTGTCTCTGTCTTTGTCTCTGTCTCTCTCTCCCTCTCTCTCTCTCTCTCTCTCTCTCTCTCTCTCTCTCTCTCTCTCTCTCTCTCTGTCTCTGTCTCTCTCTCTCTCTCTGTCTCTCTCTTTGCATCTCTCTCTCTCTCTCTCTCTCTCTCGCTCTCTCTCTCTCTCTCTCTCTCTCTCTCTCTCTCTCTTTGCTTCCTTATTGTCCTCATTCTCTGTCTCTGTCTCTCTCTCTCTCTCTGTCTCTCTCTTTGCATCTCTCTCTCTCTCTCTCTCTCTCTCTCTCTCTCTCTCTCTCTCTCTCTCTCTCTCTCTCTCTCTTTGCTTCCTTATTGTCCTCATTCTCTGTCTCTGTCTCTGTCTCTCTCTCTGTCTCTCTCTTTGCATCTCTCTCTCTCTCTCTCTCTCTCTCGCTCTCTCTCTCTCTCCCTCTCTCTCTCTCTCTCTCTCTCTCTCTCTCTCTCTCTCTCTCTCTCTCTCTCTCTCTCTCTCTCTCCTCTCTCTCTCTCTCTCTCTCTTTGCATCTCTCTCTCTCTCTCTCTCTCTCTCGCTCTCTCTCTCTCTCTCTCTCTCTCTCTCTCTCTCTCTCTCTCTCTCTCTCTCTCTTTGCTTCCTTATTGTCCTCATTCTCTGTCTCTGTCTCTCTCTTTTCATTATTATTATCTGTTATTCAATTGAACTTCTTCACCGGAACTTTGATGTTTGATATGTAACTTGATGTTTGATAAGAAAAAAAATGTAATGCGAATTGCTTTAATAAATACAAGAATTATGTGATATACTTTGTTGTGTTTACCCTTTGTTTCGTTCCTTTTATCTTATATATTCATTATCATTATCTTTTGGCTTAAATGGAAACAATGTTCGCAATTTTTCTAAAAAAAAAAAGTGTTTATAATCTAATTTCATTTCATTTCCCAGTCTTGAAATAAACGAAATAAAAATTATTAAAGCATTGATTTATAGATCGGTTTTCAAGATCATCATCATTCGCACTGGTGTTGCTTTCACTATCATCACCATCGGGCTTTATCTAAAGGTCATAGGGATTCATTATTAGACTTGAATCATCACTATGGATATGGAATGACGATAACATTATATAAAAAATATATATTTGTATACAGGTGTAAAACTCTAAGGGTGTGTGTGCCACGTTTCAATAACAATAAACACTGATACAGCCTTTCAGACCACTTAACATGAGGTATAAAGAACTATGTGAATATTTCATTTTATCTGATAGATTGGAAGATATACTAGTATTATATCTTAAATTTGCTATGTAAAACTGGCGTAAACAAAAACACAGTGTTACGTAAACACAGTGGCAAAAGCATATCGACGTATTATTTTTGTATGATGTATGACATATTTCTATATTACCATGTACAATTACAGTAGGCACAGACTACTATGTAGACTATGTAAAACTGTAATCATGTTTGCCCACGGCTGAGCAGATAGCCAGGGTGGTAAATAAACTTACTTAACTTAATAAACATAGTGCAAAATGAAGCCATGAGGATTATCCTCGGCGCCCCGAGAACAGGAAGGATAGTGAACATGAGGTCAGAACTTAACCTACCATCCATCTCTGATAGACTAGTATTTATTTCCACTATATTTGGGGTCAAAGCTCTGAGGGAACCTTTGTATCTTTCAGACTTCCAAAGACAAATGCAGTATAAAATCA